ACTAAGTAAGTATGAATTACATAATTTAACACTTATCAATTCAAAACAAACCAACCATTTCTTATTAAATGTTTTTCCTTTACTCTTTAGATCACCATCATCTACAAACAAGGAAACAAAACAAAAATTGCAAACTCTTTATTAATTATAAACTTTTATTAACAAACCGCAAAAAATGATGCAGTAAAATTTCTTCTCCACAGTAGTAAATTTATCTATAAATTCTTTTCCCCAATGAAGTAAATCTAAATACAATGAAAATAATTTAATAATTTCAATCCCCACACAGCAGTCAATTTAAAATTATCAGCAGTAAATCTATACAAATGCCAGCAGTACTAACCTTTTCAAGATCAATTCACTCGTACACAAATTCTATCCACAGTCGCACAGCTCGCTCACGACGAATTATTTAAAATAATGATTTCGATAAGTCTTAACTTTCACTAATAATTCTTTTAACCCGGTTGGAAAGGAATTATATAATAATCCCAACTAACCAACACAGCTTACTAAACACCATAAAACACAAACTAGCAGCATGACTAAGAAAAGAAAACCCGAGGTAGCCAAACCGGATTAAACCAGCTTAAAGAACCGATAATTTATTCTTTTAAAGACTATTGATAAGGCTAAAAAAGTAAGCATAAAACACCAAAAAGTCGAAAAGACAAACATATACCAAACAATTTGATTTTTGAGAAAAGGACACAACCAAAACAACAAAAGGAAAAAACCAGTAACAAACATGACATAAAAGGTTAACACGAAACAGGACCCCATAAAAAAACCAGCATGCAATCATACCCTCACTCCTGGCCTAACCAACCAGAAGAGGACGTCCTGAGCATGCTTAATAGCCGGCTTAACCCACCGTGCTAGAACACACGCTTTGTGACACACTCCTTTTTTTTGATAAGAGGTACTCAAGTGTGAGTAACTCTTTTAAAATAACCGAACTAAAATAGAAAGCTTTTGCGATAAAAACTAATAAAAAGTCATAACTAAAAAGACGAACTAACTAAACATTTATTTATGTAAATTACATAATGCAGTAATGTAGGCCATACACAATCACGAAGACGAGCATCAAGCAGCTAAGACGACCTCATCACAATCAACCCACAGAATGACTGAAAACAACCGATATGCCGCTCACAACCACAACTCAAATGATTTGAAGAACGACTTGACTCCGAAGCAAAGGATTTCATTGAAACAGACCAATGACCACTCCTCCTTTTATCCTCTGCTCTCCTTTCTCTCTCTCTCTCTCTCTCTCTCCTCTCCTCCTTTTATCCTCTGCTCTCTCTCTCTCTCTCTCTCTCTCTCTCGCTCTATCTCCCTCTCTCTCTCTCTATCTCAATTTTTACTCTCTCTCTCTCTCTCTCTCTCTCTCTTAGAATATACCTTTGTGATTTAACTTTCCTGTGTTGCTCTGTTTTTACTGTCACTTTCTTTTTTTTTGCATCCATGTATCTTTCATGTTGCAGTGCCACTTTAACGATGTTCATCCATGTTTCATCTATGAAACATCGATGCAATTTACATTGATGTTTCATCAATGAATCATGACTGAAACATAGATGTCAGTTCTATGATTCATCCATGAAACATGGATGAAAGCTAAATTGATGTTTCAGCCATGAATCAGGGCTGAAACATAGATGTGAATTTTCTGATTCATCTATGAAACATGGATGAAGATTAAACTGATGAATTAAACATTAATGAGTCCAATTTGCGGTTACGGTAAACTCACTCCAATTGGCGCAGATTTTGACCTCAAACGTTAAAACGGTTGAGTGTATTTTAATGTCATACATTAATCACTGTTGGACCGGTTGATTGAGCCCAAAAAGGGCTCATTGACCTCAGTTTTAATCAGACGAGAAAATTGATCTCCAATTTTAGTAGTGTTTTTGTGACAGTGGTCTGTGCAAGACTTTTTTGGGTGGAATGGTTTTTTGGAAAGACGTGTCGATCTTTTAATTTTTCGAGATCTGCCATCTGCCAAAATCAGGATTTGGATTTACTTTGACTGGGGTTGGTCTCTTACTGCGTCGGTCTCTTACTTTGCCTGATCTGAAAACTGGCTTTTTACAATCTTAATACACGCAGAAAAAAGGCAAGCTGCACTCAAGATTGATAGCACATAAGCAACACTTTAGATTTTGAGATAGAGAGCAACTTCGAGTCATGCATGATTGCAGAATTTTTGTGTTAAAAAGACAGAGGACTGCCCGACAGGAGGAGGATCTAGGTTTTTCTCGAGAAGGGAGCGGATTTTCAAAAAAAAAGTTCGAAAATTTTATTGACTTTTTATCGACTTTTTTATTGATGAAAATTTTGTTACATCTGGATTAAAATTACACATATGCGCATTTTTCCTTAATTTAGGTACGAGCAGCAAAACACGAATTTAGGGGGACGCCCTCACCAACCAAACAACCCAAGGGTCCCCATTTGTTATTATTTCATGACCGTCCATTTTCGGCGACCAACCGTAAAGGCGCCAATATGTACTAAATTTGAAGGGGTGCGCGCTTCGAACAAACGTAATTTTTTGGTTACCTGTTTTCAAAAATTGTCTGCGGCGCAAAGAAGCTCGTCCAAATAGGGTCTTTAGAGTGTTGCAGGAGTGCTCGGAAAATCAATTAGGTCGAATAAAAGAAAACCGATAAAATTTTCGGAAATTTTTTGAAAATCCTACCCCCATTTTTGAGAAAAACTTAGATCCGTCTCCTGACGGGTAATGCTCTGCCTTTTCTTCTACTGCAAAAACTCAGCAACCTTTAAGACTCGAAGTTGCTCTCTTTGTATCAAAATCTTTAGTATTGCCCATGTGCTACCAATCTTGAGTGCATATTTCCTTTCTTTCTGTGTGTATCAATATAAGAAAAGCCAGTTTTTAGATCAGACAGTGAAACTTTTTTTGAATTGATAGGTTATCCTATTCTGTCAAAAATTTAGACCAGTTGCAACAATTATGACCAATGTCTCTGAACCCCTCCTACCCCTCTTTGAATTTCTGTTGATTCAACCAATCCGTAGGCCTAACCCGAAAGTTAATTATTTAGATTGACAAGAGCGCATATAACCAGCACCCATTAAGCTATGACTTACTTGCAAGAGCTCACCTTGCAAGTTGAAGCGCACCTTCGATTTGATCCAGCAATCATATGACACAATGCCACATCCTTACATCGCAAACATCCTTGCATCGCCACAATGCCACAATTTAACAAGTCCTTACATCGCAAACATCCAATCCTGGCCTTGGAAGATCTCAAAAATTTCGAAATGGCTGGCCTAAAAAGGTCGGCACATCTTTTTAAAAGAACCATTCCCCTCAGAAAGTCTTGCACAGACCACTGCCAGTAACAAACTACTAAAAATGGAAAATGTGTTTCTCGACTTTTTGAAACCGAGGTCAATGAGCCATTTTTTGGGCTCAATCAACCCGTCCAACAGGGAGTATATTGGTGACTAATTTTGAACCAGACTTAAATGTTAAGCACAGAAAAATCAGATTTGATTCAGTTTTGTAGTTTCAATTTTTGTTTAACATCTGTTTGAAAAGCGAAAACTCTCCTTCCCGCATCGAAGTTTAGGCGTAAGTAATCGATTATAACGCATTATTATTATGATGATTTTTTGACAATTATAATTGATTATAATTACCAAAAATAGGTGTTTAAAGGATTTATATTTGATTATAATCGTGATATTTTCCAAGAGATTTATATCTCTTATAATCGATTATAATTGATTCTAGTTCTTACGAAAAACCCTTAAAATCAATTATAATTGATTATAATCTCTTATTTTGTCAAAATTTTGTCAATTCAAATTATATTCGAATTATATCTTATGGGTGATTATTTTTGTGTGAATGAGAAAATCTCTAAAAGAGATATCTTGAACAATTTGGTTCTTCTGAACACAAAGTTTTACCACGAAACAAAAGTTTCATAGAGATCCTTTCATATGAGTGGAAAGGTTCACGCGATAAATGAAAAATAAATCTTCCGAATCAATCATGAAACTAAATCAACTTGCTGATGTTGAGGTGTTTAAAAAAGATTAAAATATGCATTAAAAAACAACTTAATGGGGAACAGATGAAAAAAACTTTGAAAACAGAAGAAAAAAAATAAATTTGAATTAATTGGAAAACTTAAAAAAATAATTTTCTCATTTTTCATAGGAACCAACGTCTGCAAAAAGCATAAAATATAAACAATTTAGATGCAATTTCGAAGACAAAATGGACAAAAAAGAATCATAATCAATTATAATCGATTATAATGGATTTTTGTGCAAAACTAAAGAACTAGAAATTTGAATTAAAATAATGGATTATAATCAAAGATAATCGATTATAATTGTATCGAAAAATAGACGAATAGATAATCGATTATGATTGATTATAATGGATTATAATAAATTACAATTTAGAATTATAAAGAGAGATTATAACCGATTATTAATTGATTAAAATCAATTGTTTCTCAATTTTAGTAAGACTGGTACTAAAATCATAATGTAATCGATTATTAACGCTTGAAGCTGGATGCGGGCTTGCAGTAAAATCAGCTAAAACAATAGTTTCGCCGGGGAAACTCGGGTACTCGTGCCTTGTATTTGAATAATAACTTCGACTTAAATTAATTTAAATCAATCGAAAGTTAAGAAAACTCCACCTGTTACCAATCAATTAAACTGCCAGCCAATTGGATTGTCTCCTTGAATATATATTCATGTTTTTTTTCAAAGAAAATATCTCAAGCTCTGTCTACTTCAGCAAGGGCGTCAACGAAAGATAAAGGTAAAGAAAGTCTCTCTTTGAAAATCGGTCATTTCGCTCCTGAAAATGAACCTCTCAGTTTGTTAAACAGTGCAAGTGTTCAGTCAGATTACTGGCCATCATATTATGAATACAAAATTACGACCTCGACCCGGGTGCTCGCTTTTATCTCAATCATCAGCGGATTAAAACAGATTTGCGAATAAATTGACTTTACTCTCCTCAAATGCGACACTAATAGTCTTTTCTGGCAGGCTATTTCCTACTCTTTTCCATAATTGTCTTCGCTCAATCAGTTTTTGTAATCCAAAAAACGGCTTCAAAATGTCACCCCTTACTTTAAGTGTATTAATCGAAACGTTCACAATCTGCAAATTCTTGTCAATTGAAAACTCAAGTGGCATTTTTGATGATATTATTGGTTCACCTGAACTAGAGCTGAGGGTCAAATTGGGTTTGAACTATGACCCATCGGCGCGACCTGTGAAATCACCCAAAACCACAGTCAACATCACATACAAGACTAAGATCTACCAACTGGTTGGTTTGAAGACAAAAGACCAGACGATTGAGATGTTGATGTTCCAGCGTCTGGTATGGATTGACGAGTTCCTCCAGTGGGATCCGCGCGACTATCAAGGACTGGAGATACTGAGGTATTACAGGAACCGTATCTGGACTCCGGACATTTTGCCTTACAATGACGTGGGGAGCTTCGATCTCGAGAAATACGACTATTCTATTCCAATAATGGTCTATTATACTGGTGAAGTTGTCTGGGCTAGACCAGTGGACTACGAGAGCACCTGTTCTCTGGACGTTGAGCGATTCCCTTTTGATACCCAGGAGTGTGAGGTTGTCATTGGTTCCTGGCAGTACCTCAAGAGTGAAGTTAACTTCTCATGTGAGCCAGTAGACTTGTCTCTGTACATGAAAGACAGTCTGTGGACATTAGAAAGTAAGCTCAAAACTTCATCGAATAACTTTTTTTGCAGGAGGACTTACTCGAGGCGTTTCTTGTAATCAAAAACCAAAGCCAAAATTTTCAAAACCAAAATGAAATGGTTTCAGAGCTCATTGAACATAAGCTTCAGTTACGGGTAACAATTCACTGGGAAATGATAAAAAAAATTCAGATTTGCTCAATTCGACAAAGCGTTGCTAACATTTTTTTGAGCAGCTCTCGGTGATTTCCCATCGCTTAACAAAAGTTAAGTTAAGAAGTCTCTACACTTACTTGAATTGGTTTGAATTCTTAGGTGCGGTATGTCGGGATGAGCCTCATGACAACATGCGACAAACCAGCGGTAGAATTTCAATTTCAGTAGTCTACAAACGACAGTCTGCATTCTATGTTCAGAATCTCATTCTTCCCAACGCCATGTTGTTAGCTCTCAGTTCTCTCATCTTCTTCATTCCTGGCGAAGCTGGCGAAAAGTTGACATTTGGGGTCACGGTAACCTTGGCTCTATGTGTTAACTTGACCTTGGTTACGGAATTCGTCCCTCAGACCTCAAAAACTTTCCCGCGAATCTGTACTTACTTCTTCTCCAGCATCGTAATATCAACCATTTCCATTTTTCTCGCTACTGTGTCCATAAATCAAGTTGGAAACTGTGATCAGAGTGCGGATGAAGTCTATGAGATGACAACACCTGTGAAAAAGTCCAAGGAAAGGAGTGAGAGCAGAACACCAACTATACCCGCAGATTACACGATGTCGCCAAAGAGAAGAATGAGCGTGATGGTGAGACGCAAGTTGTGCAATCGCAGATTTGAGGCTTTCATGGGAGTCCTGTACTTCATCGGAACCATAATGTACACCGTCTTGTTTATTTTCTGCATGTTATAATCATTAAACTTGGTCTGTGCGAAAAAAAAGTTTAGAAAAAACTCAATGAAATTTTTTAAACAAAAAAAAAACAAAAGCAAATAAAGTCTGTGAATTTACAAAAACTTAAGGTATGAAGCTTTGAACCACTTTCTCTAAACATAAATTGAAAAGATGCCGATAAATTGAGCCTGGGAATATAATTGAGCCCGACTGTTACCTCATTGAGCTTTATAGAAATGAAGCGAGCCTGGAATAAAATTATAACTATAATTCTGCGCTGACCTTTCAAAATTTTCTTCTTAACTGAAAAAATGAAACTCAAGGAATGAAAATTGAGTTGATTTGAAGAGAAAATGGAATTTAACTAAAAATTCGGTATACAAGTAATTGTGTATTGTGTATAAAAACCAGACAATTCAACGCTTTAAAACAAAGTTTTAGATTTTTTTTTTCATTTTGTTTTGTTGTGGCGATTAATTTTTTTGCGAAACTTAAGGTTTCCTTAAAGTTTATGCAAAAGATTTATTACGAAACTTAATGTTTTTGCTGTCGCATTTAGTGGGGTAGATTTTTTCACCTAATTCAGTTGTGTGGATACTACCTCCGACCGTCCGACCGAACAAAATTGTCTTTAACCAAAAAACGGATATTTTTCTACTTTCTTCACAATTTTCGTTTTCAACCGCTTTTTTCCGATTCGATTTTTTGAGCTATTTGAACAAGAACTCACGATTCTCATTTGACAGTTGTTTTAATTTATCTCGAATAACTTCATCGCGTTTTCAAACAATAAACGGAAAATGGGGGAAAAGTTCCTCAAGTTGCCCAACTTGAGCCATCTTTGATTCAACGTCATGCAGGTAAATGTAATAAAATGTTCTCTGCCCAGCGTTTCAAATTTATCTACAAAATGTCAATATCAAAAGTAACTAAATCAGAGGCTTTCACGACGAAGAAAAAATTAACGTCAAAAGCAGCACCCGAGTCGAGATTTTTCAGCTAATTTGAAGCAAGATTTGAGCGGTTTGAGCGGTTTTTTTAGACAATTACGTTCAAAATTTTGCTTCAAAATGAGCGGTTTGAGCGGTTTTTGAACGGTTTTATCTAGAAAAAACCGCTCAAAAACCGCGCAAGATTTGAACAGTTTTGAGCGGTTTATCTAAAAAAGCGCTCAAAACCGTTCAAATCTTGCGCGGTTTTTGAGCGTTTTTTTAGATAAGCCGTTCAAAAACCATTCAAACCGCTCATTTTGAAGCAAGATTTTGAGCGTAATTGTCTAAAAAAAACCGCTCAAATCTTGCGCGGTTTTTGAGCGGTTTTTTTAGATAAACCGTTCAAAAACCGCTCAAACCGCTCATTTTGAAGCAAGATTTTGAGCGTAATTGTCTAAAAAAACGCTCAAACCGCTCAAATCTTGCGCGGTTTTTGAGCGGTTTTTTTAGATAAACCGTTCAAAAACCGCTCATCTTGAAGCAAGATTTTGAGCGTAACTGTCTAAAAAAACCGCTCAAATGAACTTTTGGATAAACCGCTGAAAACGGTTTTTCTAGATAAACCGCTCAAAACCGTTCAAATCTTGCGCGGTTTTTGAGCGGTTTTTCTAGATAACCCGTTCAAAAACCGCTCAAACTGCTCATTTTGAAGCAAGATTTTGAGCGTAATTGTCTAAAAAAACCGCTCAAATCTTGCGCGGTTTTTGAGCGGTTTTTTTAGATAAACCATTTAAAAACCGCTCAAACCGCTCATTTTGAAGCAAAATTTTGAGCGTAATTGTCTAAAAAAACCGCTGAAACCGCTCAAATCTTGCGCGGTTTTTGAGCGGTTTTTTAAGATAAACCGTTCAAAAACCGCTCATTTTATTTTGAAGCAAGATTTTGAGCGTAAATGTCTAAAAAAACCGCTCAAATGAACTTTTGAAACCGTTTTTTTAGCCTAAATTCTCAAAAAAATTGCTTGATAAATGAACCCAAAGACGAATATTGCGTCAGTTATTCAGAGTTGATCCAAAGAAAATTGTTGTGGCTAGAAAATTAGTTTTTTTTCCATTCTGTTCTCCAAAAATTGTGAAATTATTCTTAAGAAACCCTAATCCTAACCTAACCCTAACCCCAACCTACCCCGAGTCATTTTCGGAGAAGAAGAACTGTGTGGCTCCGACCTTAGAGATCTCAGTTTTACTCGTCGTTTTGTGACGATTAACATTTTGTGACGATTAAAACTGAGCAAAAACCTGGTTTGAAAACCTCGTTTTTGATGAGCAAGGTGTTTTAAATTGAGCAAAAGCACTCTTAATTATTTTAAATTTGATTAAAAACAAGTTTTTACTTTATTCTGAAAATCTTGCCTTTCATGAAAAAATGGTTATCATACAATTTTCATATTTGGAAATTGTATGATAACCAATTTTTTTTTCAAAAAAAAATATATGTAGTTAATTTTCAACCCAGACTGTTGTATTTGGTTCAAATAGCCGGAGAAACTAGATTGAATCTTTTTTCAATGGTTTTTTAAATTGTATGAAAATTGTATGATTAGCATTTTTCCATACATTTGATGCAGGCAATTGTATGATAAGCTTTTTCGGTGTGGGGAAATTTAAAATAAGCATTTTCGGTTTAGGGATGTCAACCCGGGGTCACATTACCTTTCCAGGCCTTTTTGTTGGTTTTAATCGTTTTTTTTTATAAGACCGCTATAAAACCGCTCTAAAACCGCTCAAATCTTGCTTGAAAAACCGTTCAAAAATCACTGCAAGAACTGAGCGGTTTTTGAGTGGTTTTTTAAGCAAGATTTGAGCGGTTTGAGCAGTTTTTCCAAAAAAACCGCCCAAACCGCCCAAACCGCCCAAACCGCTCAAACTGCTCAAATCTTGCTGAAAAACCGCTCAAACCGCTCATATCTTGAGCGGTTTTTGAGCGGGATCTCGACCCGGGCAGCCGATATGATAGTGTAACTTTAAATAAGATGTTATCAATATCAACTTTTCACCTTCTAATCGCCTTATGAATTATTTCATTTCAAACATTTATTATGATTCAGATAACCTCACCAGTTTTTTTAAGTAAACCAGTTTTTTTATCCAGCCCACTCTTGAATGCCCGCTTTGTTATTTATAAAAGTCTAAATTCAAGAAACAAAAAAATAACCAGCCACACTATCCACCACACTTCATTTGTATAGACTGCCATGAGCAAATTCTAGCTCATTTTTGGAAATATGGACACGGTTTACGCCCCATTTGCCAAGTCCCTAATTTCACCGGATCATTTTCTCATTATTTTCTTTGTAGTATATGTTAAAGTATGGTTAAAAGTGCAATTGGGGGAAACACCCAAACCCACAGTATGGCAGATATTGACACCTATTAACAGATATCCAATTATAGTTCTTCTACACTCTTTCATTTGCACAATGGAATATGACACAGTAATGAACAGGAATTGTAAATTGCTGACCCTACCGCGGAGCAATTTGAAAGGAAATTGCCTCTCCCAAAGAAGAGGCAATTAAAATCAGTTGTCAATTCTTCAACCAAACTTAAATCAACGATTGGATCTCTAAAGAGAGAGAGAGAGAGAGAGAGAGAGAGAGAGAGCTCAAATTAGATACTCTAGATCATCGATTCAGCACATGCTTGAAACACTCTATTAAACACAACTACAATCGGTGGAAACAGGCATTCTTTGTCGAAGCTGTAAGCTCGACGACAATGGATTAGGCAATGATGCTAACCGAGTTAATAACTGGACAGGAAGGTAAAAAAAGAAGAAAGTAACATTTTGAAGTTAAATCAAGGACTGGAAAACGGCCATTTATTAAAAGTAGGGGGAGCTCAAATAACGATTCCATTTCAGGGAACAACTGTTTTCCCTGTGAAGACAGAGGAAACTGAGAGAGATGAAATATATTCAATTCGGATAGAAATTAAGGAATTAACATACAGACTGAGCCGGATGACACTTAAAAACAAGAAAACGAAGCAGAAGATCGCAAAACTGCATCAAAAACTGGAGGCATCGCAGAGGAAGATAGCGATCCTCAGGTCGTACAACATGGATTTAGAAAATGGAAAGAAAATCTATGACAATTTTGTTATGTAATAAACTTTATTTAAAATGCATTTTTTTTTTCAATTTAAACTTATCTTCGAACGTATTTTATTTAATGTTCTTTTTCATAATCTTAAAAAAATTAATTATTTAATCATTTGGTGTTTAATTTTCAACATGGTAGCTGTAAGAAACGAGCAACACAATTTTTTTCTAAAAAAAGGGGTTAGTTGTAGTATTGTAAGTACAACACGGACAAATGACCAGTATCTAAATTGTTTATTTAATGACTCAATTCTAAATTGCAGCGTGAAATCTTGTTTTGAAAAATCCACTATTTTTTAAATACTTGTCCAATTTTTCTCATTTTTTTCATGCTCAGTATTTCATAAGGGCGGCGATTACTAACACTTCGCTTTTAACTATATCCTACAACAAAATGAATTAATATTTAATAATCCTGCAGGTTGCCCAGGATTTCTCCTTGCTTTGATTAAACAGAGATGCACATAGAACATGATGCATCAGAGAAAATACTATGAAATTTCTATAACATCGAACTGAAGAGTGGCGTTATAATCAAAGACGACTAAAAATTTAACGAGATTTGACATGAAAAATCAAATAAATGATTGTTGAAATTTATCTTATGATGGAGGGAGAACAAATGAGCAACCTGAGATGTTTGATAGATGAATCAGCCGGCGGATAATGCTTACAAGCAAAAAGACTGGCCTGAAATTTTCATTTTTTCATTTGCTCAGTCAGCAGCAAGTTCTAAACTCTAATAACTTCAGTTTTCAAATAAATAAATTTTCCTTTGCAGTTTTACAAAATTATAAAGATTAGTCTTTTTTCAACAAAAACTGCTTTTAGTTTTTTCTCTAACTTCGATAAAATAATAAATCGAGATAATCGCGAACGAGACAAATCAGAGCACGAAGACCACTGGACAAAAAGTCACTAGAC